TAGAATGAGATAAGAATAGATCTTAGTTGGGGGAAGAACCATCTCAACACAAAAACTGCGATCTCTCTCTCTTGAATTTGTTATTGTTATCCTTCCCTTTTTATGACTCAACAATTATTTTATTTCTTTTTTTACTATAAATTTTATTTTTTTAATTTTATATTGTGAAATTAGCTTTTTTTATATTTTAAAAAAGAAAATTATATAAGACATTGCAGTATCTTAGAATTTAATACTAAAAATATTTCTTCACAGGTGAATAATTGAAAGCAATTAAAAAATTTTAAAAAATTATTTTGTACCTATAACAAATTTCAGGAAAGGTCATGTTCATTAGTTGATTTTTTGAATGGGTACAATGTGGAACACGCCACCAGGAAAGGTCCCCCATGTGTAAAAACTTGGTTAGGAGTCTCAATTCTAATCATTGCGTGCATAGGGTGTAACTTGGTTAACATTGTTATCCCAATGTGCCCAAGTGTATATCCTCCTAGTGTAAAGTGTTGTGATGGCCTGACCCAACATGTTCTCCTAGACAATTTTAATTTGGCCTTCGAAAAATAGTTGACAATCATTTTACTGGCACCACATACATGGAATTTAGGATTTTCATTGTCCACTGCATTATCATAAACATAACTATTGTATCTTGGTTGATGTAAATTATGAATATGATATATGTTGAAATGTGTGTTATTGGAAGATGTGTTGATATTTATTTATCTTAAGTATGAATGTGTATTTGTTATTTGTTGTGTGTGACTACCCAACCATAGGTTACACAGGTAGTCAGAGTGAAATGTTTCTTACTCTCATTTTATTTTGTTTTCTTTTGGTGTATGTTTGCAACTAAGATTCATCGTGAGGATAAGAAGGATGGAGACAACATTTAGACCTTGTATTGGGTGTGCTAGGATATCGGGGTAGTATCTAGGAATTTATGTTTTAGTTGATTGTTTAAGTTAAGACTTTTATTCTATTAGTTGAACTTGTGTTAGGACTTAATTTAGGTATTATTGTAATTTCCCTTTTGAACCTTGCTTTTGATCACTTTGTTTTCATTTACAATGTGATAATTTTTCCCATGAGGTTTGATCTTATTTAGTATAATTATTTAGAAATCTCTTTTTATAATTATTGAATTATATGCTAAGTTAGTATGTGGGGCAGAGGATGTCACATTTAGTGGTATCAAAGTCTAGTTGATTCAAACTGGACTATGTGTCATGTATCATGACTACGTGTTTTATGTGTATTAGGGTTTGTGAT